CAAATAATAAAGAGTAATAACACACTACCAATAAAAATAAGCAAGGATATTTTAAGTGTTTCCCGCGTGCCAAGGACTTTTCTAAGCACTCTGTCTGAGGTTACTCAAGTGTCTGTCCATTTATCAGACTGCCCAATTTAAGAGGGTCCTTGGATCTCCTTGAGTATTTGCACAATCTACCAAAAAAAAAAAAAACAGATCCTTACCTCTCACCATACACACAAAAATTAACACATAATGGACCATAGGCCTATATGTAAGGAATAAAATAAAATTTGTAGAAGTGACCTTGGTAAAGCAAACATTTCACCAAAAATATGATCCCATAAAAGAAAAAAAATTGTTAACCTGGACTTCTTTTGTTTTTCATAAAGTGAAAAGTGTTAATCGCTCAGTTGTATTACACTCTTTGCAACCCCATGGCCTGCAGCCCGCCAGGCTCCTCTGTCCATGGGATTTTCCAGGCAGGAATGCTGGAGCGAGTTGCCATTCTCTTCTCCAGTGGATATTCCCAACCCAAGGATCAAACCCAGGTCTCCTGAACTGCAGGCAGATTCTTTACCCTGAGCGATAAGAGGATACCATTAGAAGAATGAAAAAATTAAACTAGGATAAAGTATTTACCAATCTTTTATCTGATAAAGGATTTATATTTAGAATATGTTTAAAAAGAAAAAAAAAACTTGATAAGAAGACAAACTACCCAGTTCAAAATGGATAAAATATCTGAATAAGCATTTTACAAGAAAAGGTATATGAATAGCTAATCTGCATATGGAAAGATGCTCAACAGTATTAAAATGCAAGTTAAAAATACGAGATGTCACTACACATCCATCAGAATAACTATATTCCAAAAAGACTGACATTATCAAATCTTGGGGATGATATGGAATATCTTCATACTTTGCTGGTGGGAATGTAAAATGGTACAGTGACTTTAGAAAGGGCTTCTCAGGTGGCGCTAGTGGTAAAGAACACATCTGTCAATGCAGGAGACACAAGAGACACAGGTTTGGTCCATGGGTTGGGAAGATCTTCTGGAGGAGTGCATGGAAACCCACTCCAGTATTCTTTCTTGGAGAATCCCATCGACAGAGGAGCCTGGCGGGCTATAGTCCGTAGGGTTGCAAAGAGTCAGACATGACTGAAGTGACTTAGCATGAACACACTCAACTTTAGAATACAGGTTGAAAGTTTAAGTTAAACATATACTTAGCGTACAACTCAGCATGCATCCATATACTCAAAGCAAATTGCTCATAATAGTCAAAAATTGAAACAATCCAAACATTCATCAAATAGTGAATGGAAAGGGAAAAAAGTTCTATGAATAGAGTATCATTCATCAACAAAAAGAAATGAACTACTAATATGTACAACAACACGGATAAACCCCAAAAACATTATTCCAAGTAAAAGAAGTCAGACACAAAAGACAACATATTATATAAATCTATTTATATAAAATTTCTAGGAAAGAAAAATACACAAAGATAGAAAATAGACCAAGGTTGTTGGGACTGAAGTACACATAGAAATTGAGTACAAATAGGCATTAGGAAATATGAGGTGATAGAAATATTCTAAATTGGATTGTGATGATGGCTCACAACTATATACATTTTCTAGAAATCAGTTAACTACAATTACAATGGGTAAATTTTGTGATATGTAAGTTATACCTCACTAAAGCTGTTAAATAAGGAAGGAAAGGAGAGATGACCCCACTTTTCATATAAGAACAGTATTTCAATCTCACTACCTTGCTGATATGGAGAAGGAAATGGCAACCCACTCCAATATTCTTGCCAGGAATCCCATGGACAGAAGAGCCTGGAGGGCTACAATCCATGGGATCGCAAGAACCAGACACGACTTAGCGACTAAATCACCAACCACACTGTTGATGAGGGAAATATCGTTAATAGAAGAATTCCAACTAACAAATACAGAAAAATGACAATATTAGAAAAACCACATTTCGTCATTTCTAATGAAAACATGGGTCTCAAGGAATACTAAAGCTATCAGATGAAAGACTATAGAAAAAACTTATTATGGAATAATACCAGGCTGATACTGTCTGAAGCAAATAAGATCAATCTCAACATCACTAAACTTAAGACAGTCAGATATTATATGTCACCTGATATGATGCAATAAGTACAGAGCACCAATTATGAAGGATTCCTGTGGGGGGGTGGGGGGGTGGGGGAAGAAGCCTGAATTGAACCAAACCTTTAGGTCTAATTATCAGTTTACACAATACTCTTGCCAAAAAGAAAATAAAATAAGCATGAATCAAACCAAACCTTTAGCTCTAAGTATCAGTTTACATGATAAAGTGATGAATAAGCTAAACAACACTTTAAGGAAGCAATCAACCAAATCCAAACTGTAGGATATTCTAAAGAATTTGATTTTTCTAACAAAGTCATAGCATTAGGGGAAAAAAAAAGTGAGAGACACTATTACAGAAAAAAATAAACCTAAGAGCTAAAGAGCCATAAATAGAATATGAACCACACCTTCACGGGATTCTGATTTTAACAAACCAACTGTATAAAGACATTTTGGTTACAACTGGAGAAATTTGCACAATGACTAATTATTTGATGTTAATAAGGAACTATTAGTAATTTTGTTAGGTATGATACCAGTAGAGAGGTTTTCTTCAAAAAAACTATCAATTAGACGTCATGCCAGAATATTTGCAATGAAATAATGTATGTAGAGAATTTTCTTTTAAATATTCCAATGCCTTTTTCTAAATATCAGGTCAAAAGTACCAGAGAGTCAATTCTTAGGCAGACTGATAAGAAGTGCAGGGTCCCCAAGGAGGAGAAAGGGGTCTGGGGCTCTGGAAGTGGAGACAGGGGTCTGGAATTCTCAAGCAGGAGGAAAGGACAAACTTTTTTTATCTACATTCCTTAGTCTTAGTCAATTACACAACTCAGTTTAAACTCTGTACTAGGGATTATACAATATATCCTGCTTGAGGGCAGTTTCTCCTTCCAGAAAACCTTCTGACTAATCCTGATATCTTAGAATATATATGGGAGTGGGTCTGGTAGGATCTTTCTATTATTTAATTGTAATCTTGTTATCCTAAAATGTAATTGTGGGAGTGGGTCTGGTAAAATTTTCACAAACTCCATTCTTTTGATTCACTGTGATAACTAATTAAAAGGTATATAATTCCACTGCTAACACTAGCAAGGGGGCACTCTCCATCCCCCTTCCGATGTCTGTGTCAGAAGCTTTTTCTATCTCTTTTATACTTTAATAAAACTTTATTACACAAAAGCTCTGAACAATCAAGCCTCGTCTCTGGCCCCAGATTGAATCCTTCTCCTCCAGAGGCCAAGAATCCTGGCATCTTTCGTGATTCAGCAACAATCTTTCAAGGGTTAACATACAATATAACAGGTAAATCAAAAACTATTAAAGCTGATGGTATTATGGGATTTTATCATTCCATCCCTCCTACTTTTAGCATAGTTTTAATTTTCATATTAGTAAGGTTAGGACACAACAAAAAGTTGCAAAACTGAGAAGAAAATAAAAGAAAAGGGAGCCCAAAGCTCACCAGAAAGGTCAGGGATAAAGACTCTCATGAAGTCATCAGAAGACAGGTTTAAAAAAAAAAAAAGACAAGTAAAACATGAAGCCAAGTCCTTGGAGAATATCATATAAGGAGACAGGAGAAACTAAGTTAAAAAAAAGACCATAGAAGTGAAGCCAGAAGAATATCAATATTTAAAGACAGGACGGACAAACATGAACTTGAGAAAGATACCAAAAAGTAGAAAGTCAGGGACAAGAGAAGAGACTTAACAGAAAAATTGAATCAGGGAAATCTAGGCAAGAAAGATTCCAGATAAGTCATCAAGTACCCTTCTTAGAGTTCCTAAATTTCAAATCAAAAAGAAAAATAACTATGTTTAACAAAATTTCAGAATGACGAGAGAAATAATTATCTTCATATTTTCTAAGATGTACAGTTTCCCAGATACTGAACAAGACGTTCAAAAAATAAGAAGCCATTTACCCATTAGCACCTGGTGGCTCAAATGGTAAAGAATCTGCTTGCAATGCAGGAGACCTGCGTTTGATCCCCGCGTAGGGAAGAACCACTGGAGAAGGATTTCCAGGGGTAGAAATCAACCAGCCCTATTTCTACCTGTATGTCCAGATTCTAGTGTGGTGCCAAGTTGCATGTTTCTATATTGCCAGACTTCCAATGGGGTGCAAACCATATGGAAGGGACAGCTGACACTGATGAGGCTCAATATCATTGGCGTTTTGAGCCACAGTTATACATTAGACCAATCTGGTAATTCCTAATCCCTTTCTGATTACAAAGATAAGTAACAGAGCTTTTTACTGCATATTCAGAGCTTGAATAACTTCTCCCCAATATACTTTGCATTGATGTTCTCACAAATAATTGGATGTTTTTATAGTTGATTCCTAGTGCCTTGAGGAATTTACTGCTAACCACAACCTTGAAAATGTCACTTTCAAATAATTTATTTACATACTGTGTACAATAAAAACACAAAAGCAAATATATATTTTAAGCTACTATTACTTCAATCTTCTATTATTTACTCTCTTGACTTGCAACACAATGAGGTTAAAAACAGATTTTTGTTTGCAGGGCAGAATCCCACTTAACACGAATCACAATCCTTACATCATTAACAACTCATAACATCTTAGTCAATAAAAAGTTCAAATAACTCTATTTGTTATTTACAAATCAAACCCAGAAAAAGGAAAAATTCCCCGTCTCTGCAGCACATGTATTTTTTTTTTTTTATCATTACTTCCAGGTATATTCTGAAATTCTAAAAAAAGTTAAAAAAAAAAAAGGCCTCACTTTGAGATTTGTCAAGTTCTTATTAGACCCTCTTTGACTTTTATCTAACTCAGGATTAAAGAGCATAATTCTAAAATCTTTCCAAATCAGGAATTAAAAGTTAAAAACTTACATTCAAGCTGTGCAACCACATCTCCAGGGTCCACTGCTTCAGGGAACACCTATGGTGAGAGAAGGCAGACAGAAGCAGGATGGAGAAGAAAAAGCAAAAGGAAGACATACATGAGATAGTCTCTGTGCTTTCCTTCTCATTGCCAGAATATTCCTGTCCCTACCAAAGAAACTTTTGACATTATTGAGAATTGTCACTCCTCTGTTTCCCATGATCACCATGCAAGATTTTACCAACAAATAAAAATTACAGCTGGCTCTGCTTCCCTCTCCAATTTCATCTACTAGCAGTCTTCTCTTGTTACCACGGTCATATTTGCTTTCTTGCTGTTCCTCCTTCTCATTAAGCTTATTCCCAAGAAGACACCTTTATATTTGCTGTTCCTCTGCTTAGAATGCTTTTATCATAGACATTTAAATACTACCTCATAATTCAGACTCAATTTCAATGTTACTGCCTTCTCTGACCTACACCTTTAAAACAAACAATCCTCTTAATCCCTCTGTCCCCTTACCCTCCCTTTATTCTCTTCATGACAGCTCAGTTCAGTTCAGTCGCTCAGTCGTGTCCAACTCTTTGCTACCCCATGGACTGCAGCACACTAGGCCTCCCTGTCCATCACCAACCCCTGGAGTTTACTCAAACTCATGTCCATTGAGTCAGTGATTCAACCATCTCATCCTCTGTCGTCCCCTTCTCTTCCCACCTTCAATCTTTCCCAGCATCAGGGTCTTTTCAAATGAGTCAGTTCTTCACATCAGGTGGCCAAAGTATTGGAGTTTCAGCTTCAACATCATTCCTTCCAATGAATATTCAGGACTGATTTCCTTTAGGATGGACTGATTGGATCTCCGTGCAGTCCAAGGGACTCTCAAGAGTCTTCTACAACACCACAGTTCATGACACTTACTATCTAAAAGTGTATTACTCATGCATTTACTTGGTTACTGTTTGTTTTTCCTATTATAATGAAAGCTCCAGGAGGGGAAAATGTTTGTCTTGTTTATTCAGTGCCTAGAACAGTGCATGGAATAGTGCAGGTACTCTGAATGTATTCATGGAGAAGAGAAAAGAAAATAAGAAAGGAAGTAAGGAGGAAGAGAAGAAAGGGAAGGAGGGAACTAGGCAAGGAAAGAAAGGTGAGGAATACAATTGGTAATAATTAATCAAAAGCATCAGATGCAAGGAAAAAAAAGAGATCTATAGAAAGAAGTACAAGACAGCCATAAGTAAAATAGGACCTATTCTTACCTATTAAAATCTCCCCTTTCTCTCTCTCTCTTATGAAGATAAGTATTCATAATTCAAGGTGCTATTTTTTACATAGAGACCTCTAAGACAATTTTAGAAGTAAACTGATCCATCAAGCAAAAGAGGTAATTGATTTAGTGTATAATATAAGGAATACTTATTTTCAAGCTTCCAGATTTAAGTTATAAATCTTTTCAATTAAAGTACATATTCAAATTTTGTGCTATTCAAATTTTGGAACCACTTTAATTTTTGTATTTGTTAACATTTGATAGAATACTTGAATTCACCTTTTCAAACACCATTCTGGCATTGAAGACCAATGGAAAATTGGCTGGGACACATTGTGTCTTTTTGTATTGGCCAAACACACAGATGCTAAGATAGATGTCCTCCTTGTCTTTCAGCACCACTCCTGGGCAAGTTACCTGAAAGAAATTAGAGAGATGAATGTGACTGCTTCATGAATTCCCTAAACTATCATATTAAAATAACTTATCAAACATTACATAAAATCACTAGTCTGCTAAGTTAATAAAAATATGCACAGGTTAAAAAAAAGAGAGATGCTAGTGTTTACAGAATTAAATGAAATGTCTTTATAACTTCCATCCCTCTGAGAAATTTATGATTTTCCACTTGGTTACTTGTGCGACATTTGAAGCTCTACATATTGGCTCTTGGGACAAACACTAATAGTTTTAAACAGTTAGCCTTAGGCTCCCACTTTATGTAGAATGCTGACATAAACTTATTCAGCATCATTTAACCAGAAAGGATAAAGATTCAGCAGAAATAAAGCACGATACTAGAGGACAAAAAATACCAAAACAAAGCACAGATCTGACCTGCAGCGCCCTAAGCTGCAGCCCATACACACCCTCATCAGAAGAAACATGGCAAACTTTCAAAGCAAGTGAACTGTAAAGTTTCCAGCCCAGGGAAATATTTTTTAAATATAAAACTGTACTTAACTATTCTCAGGATTGACACAATGATGTAGGGTTTCTAAAACATACACAGCAAGGTCTTTCCAGTTTCTGCCATATTTCATTGCCAGTGATCAACTATCCTTAGTAGAATACAGAACTGTCTTAATCTTAGACAGATTTGAATCCAATTTATCACATACATATAGTATCTCCTGAAACTACAAAGTACATGTGTTATTATTTCCTAAACACACATGGATTTCTTGCCACACATTCTTTCATTATCTGGATTACTACTCCATTCCATCTCCTCCTCACCTACTTGTATCTCCCAAGGCTTTCATTAACTGACATCTCAATACACAAAACTTCTCTTGATTGGCCAATTATCACTACTGAATTCATTCTAATTCAAACATTTGTTGTGAATTTATTATATTCAAGTAAGTAAGTCTTAGTTTCTCATAGCATTTTACAGTTCTTTTAAGGCCCTAATTGTCTCACCACACGTCCATCAAATAGGTACACCTCACTTCTTTAACTTGACTATAAACTCTTGAGAACAGAAATTCTAATTTCCTCATCAATATATCCAAATACTCAGACTCTCAGTATTAAGAAGCATCTTGGAAATAATCTAGTAAAGCTTCGAATTTTTTATGTAGGGAAACAAGAGACCCCCAATAAAGACAAGGTAATTTACTACTTAAAGTCACACAATAAATGAGTCACTTCATGTTCCTTTGTATACATCAGCTAAGATTATTTTCTATGCCAGTTACTTTGAGTCTATCTACCTCTTATTCTATTTTCTACTTCTGTCCTAATAATTCACTACTGATTATTAGAATCAATTAAGGTCCTCAGAAATTTCACTCAGTCTGAAAGCTTCATTTTCTACTCCTCATTTAAACCAAACCTGTAGAGTCCTTCTACACATTTGTTATGCTTACAGATGTGACTGCTCCAAATTGAGATGGATGGTTAGTATAAAAAACAAGATTTTGAAGATTTTTGAAGACTTGTTCTAAAATATTTTAAGGAATTTTTACCAAAAATAGTGTAAAATATCTCATTAACAACTTTTATGTTAACTACATGTTGAAAGGATAATACTTTATATACTAAATTAAATAAAATTATTATAAAGTTAATTTATCATATAATTTATCACTAGTGATAATTTATCACTTACTTAGTGCAACTGGTTTATACTGTGCAGTACAGCTCTAACTGTCCTCACTGAAAACTGCTGAGTGTTTTCCCAATTTGTTATATATGATAAGAAGACATGACATCTTTTCTTATCTACAATTCTACAAATCCTACCATTCTTTAAAGGAATACCATGGAACATTCCAAAAAGAAGGCAATAAAAGTAGGTTTAAAGACAATCCTATGGAAGAAATAGAAAATAAATAGCAAACTGATTGACTTAAAACAATCATATGGATAATTATTGCCTTTGTTTTTGTTGTTGTTCAGTTCCTAAGTCATGTCCACCTCTTTGCAACATCATGGACTGTAGCATACCAGGCTTCTCTGTCCTCCACTATCTCCTTGAATTAGCTCAAATTCAAGTCTGCTGAGTTGATGTGATCTAACCATTTCATCCTCTGCTGATCCCTTATCCTCCTGCCTTCAATCTTTCCCAGCATCAGAGTCTTTTCCAATGAGTCAGCTCCTCACATCAGGTGGCCAAAGGACTAGAGCTTCAGCTTCAGCATCAGGATATTCTGGGTTGATTTCATTTAGGATTGACTGGTCTGATCTCCCTGCAGTCCAAGGGACTCTCAAGACTCTTCTCCAGCATCACAACTCAAAAGTATCAAGTCTTTGGTGCCCAGCTTTCTTTATGGTCCAATCCCACATCTGTACATGACTACTGGAAAAAACATAGCTTTGACTATACTGACCTTTGTCAGCAAAGCAATGTCTCTGCTTTTTAATGTGCTGTCTAGTTTTGTCATAGCTTTTCTCCCAAGGAGCAAGCATGTTTTAGTTTCATGGCTACAGTCACAATCCACAGTGATTCTGGAGCCCAAGAAAACAAAATCTGTCACTGCTTTCACTTTTTTTCCTTCTATTTGCCATAAGGTGATGGGACTGGATGGTATGATCTTAGTTTTTTGAATGTTGAGTTTCAAGCTAGCTTTTTCACTCTCCCGTTTCACTCTCAAGAAGTGCTTTAGTTTGTCATCAATTATGTCTCATCAAATAAGGAATATCAATAGATAGATAGAAATTACTTTAAAAAATAGAAATTTTAGAGTTGAAAAGTACATAATAAATGAAAAATTCACTAGAGAATCTCAAGAGCAGATACAAGCTGGCAGAAGAAAGAATAAATGAACCTGAAAAGTAGTCGATTGAGATTATCCAGCCTGAGGTACAGAAAGAGAAAAGAAAAATGCACAGTCTCTGAGACCTGTGGGAAACCATAAGGCACGGTAACATAGATATAATGGGACCCCCTAAAATAGAGGACAAGTAGCCAGAAAGAACAGTAGCTGAAATAATGGATGAAAACTTCTGAAATTTAAAGAAAAACAATCTTATATTCAATCCAACAAACTCCAATAACTCCAAATCACACACATCATAATCAGACTTTTTCAAAGACAAAGATGAAGAATCTTGAAAGAAGCAAAGGGAAAATGTTTCAGTAGGTACTAGAAAACCTCAATAGTAATAACAGCTGATTTCTCATCAGAAACATGAAGTAGAAGAAGGTGGAATGACGTATTCAAAGTACTAAAAGAAGACATTCGATAGTTCAATATCCAGGATATTCTCCTTCACAAAAGATGGAAAATTAAGGCTTTTCTTAAACAAAAAGATAATTTATCATGAGAACTTCCCTACAAGAATTACTAAAGAGAATCCTTCAAATTAAAATGAAAGGACAGCAGCTAAAATGTACAGGAAAAACTAAACACCAGTAAGGGGACTACATGGGTAAACCTAAGACAGTATAATTGTATTTTTCTCTCATTTATCCATTTTTATTTAAAATAAAATTGAATAAAAGCAGCAATTACTAAATTATGTTGAAGAGTGTATATGTATAAAGATGTTATCTGCATGATAATAAAATTATAAAGAAGAGGAGAGGGAACAAACTAAATAAAAGCAAAGGTTTTATGCATTATTCAAATTAAATTGGTATTAATTCATACTATATTGTTAAAAATTAAAATATTAACTGTGAACCCCAGAACAACCACTAAGAAAATAACTCAAAAAATACAGTAATAGAAACAAGGGAATTAAAATGGCACACTAGATAATAGTTAACACTAAAGAAGTCCCTAATGCAGAAAGAAACAAAAAAGACATTAATACAGAAAAGACAGAAAACAAATAGCAAAATGACAAAGGTAAATCCTACCTTATCTTACATTAAAGGTAAACTGACTAAACACTCTCATCAAAAGGTAGAGTTTAGCAAGATGGACTAAAATCTATAGTCCAGGTTTCCCTGGGGGCTCAGTGGTAAAGAACCCACCTGCCAATGCAGGAGACACGGGTTGGACCCCTGGTCTGAGATCCCGCATGCCACGGAACAGCTAAGCTCATGCACCACAAGTGCTGAGCCTGCGCCCCAGAGCCCACATGCGGCAGCTCTTGAAGTCTGCACACGCTAGAGCCCGTCTCTGCAGTAAGGGAAGCCGCTGCAACGAAACGCCACGTACCCAAACTAGAGAGAAGCTCCCGCTCGCCACAACTAGAGAAAAGCTCGTACAGCAGAGAAGACCTAGCACAGCCAAAAAATAAACTTTTACAAAATACGTTTAAAAAATTATAATCCAACCATGTGTTGAAAACAAGAGACTTGCTTTAAATTCAAAGACACAAATGGGTTGATAAGTAAAAGAGTGGAAAAAAATAACCTATGCATTATAAATGACATAACAAGTAAAAACATAGGCAATAATTACACTTTAAGAAGATACAACAACATAAAGATATATGTACTTAACAACTCCAAAATACATGATGGAAAAACCAACAGGCATCTCTCTAAAAAAGATTAACAAATGGCCAAAAAGCACACGAAAACATGTTCAACATCATTAGTCACTAAGGAAATATAAATCAAAATCACAGTGAGATTTCTCTTCATACTCACTAGGATGGCTATAAATAAGATGGACAAAACAAGTGTCAGGGAGGGTGTCAAAAAATTGGAACCCTCATACTGTGCTGATGGAAAAGTAAAATGGTGTAGTCACTATGGTAAAATTTTTGTAGTTCCTCAAGAAAAGTAAACAGTTACCACAAGAACCAGCAACTTGCTAGGTATACACCCAGGAGTAATGAAAACATACATCCACACAATAACATGTACAAGAGTGTAACAGCATTATTCGTAATAGCCAAAATGTGGATACAACCCAAATGTCAACCAACTGATGGATAAGCAAAATGTGGATAAGCTAAATGTGATATATCCATACAACAGAATATGATTTGGCCATAAAAAGGAATAAAGC